AAATCAAATCCTATACAGAAGCCCAACATATGAAATAGAGAAATGCAAACCAGCAGCCTATTTCCCATACCTGCTGGGTTCTTTTCAAGTTCACTCCTCAGAACTCTAGAGTTCTGTGGCACATTGTTAGAAGAGCACCTCTGAGGTTTCTTCTTGCTCTGGCCAGGACCTCATTATAGACTAAGACCATTTTCTCTGCTAATGACCTTTACTGCCATGATTTTGATCTTGCAGGAAATGCGAGGCTGCCTCCTGTCTCTCAGAGCACAGTGTAGTATACAATAGCTCAGCTCCGGAGTCAGAAAGACCCAGGTGTACACCTTGGCTCTTCCTGTCTGATAGCTGTGTAACCCAGGATATATGCCTTAACTTCTCTGGTTTTTACTTTCCTCCTCTCTAAAATTGGGCTAATAATTTTTCTCATGAGATAACATGACTATTAAATAAGAATGCATTTTAGGCTCAGGGCATGGCACACAGTAAGCACTTTGAAAAGATTAGATTAGTGCGCAGTATAGATGAATTTGAAAACATGGGATGTGTCCCCCATGGTTCCATTCCCAGCCCCTTGAGTGTGAATTCTGAGCCACCCAAGTTCTACTGGGGAGCAGGGAGCAACAACTGTGTCCAGCCCATTCTTTTTTTTTTTTTTTCCTTTTTGTCTTTTTTTACTGACCGGTAACGGGATCGCAACCCTTGGTGTCGCGCCCGTACCGGGGACCGGCAACAGGATCGCAACCCTCAGTGTTGCGCCCGCACTGCACTCAGCCAGTGAGCGGGAACTGGTCTCCACATGGGATCCGAGCCCTCGGCGGGAGCACCGCCGTGCTCCCAAGTGGCGCACTCTCCAGTGCGCCACCGGGCCGGCCCATAAATAAATCAGCCCATTCTAACATAGACAGAGAAGCCTGGCTACTCTCCCCACCACCCCAACCCACACAAGGACAGACACGACAGATCCAGTTCCTAGAAGGTTGGTCTAGGCCCATCTCTGCTGGAATTTTAGGCTTTCTGTTCTCTCATCTTCCTAGTCCTGGTGTCCCCCTGGGCAGACAACAATTATAATGAAAACTTTTGGGCAATTCTGGCTGGTGAGGGCTCCACACTTTGAAGCAAACAATCTCTGTCAAACTTCCCTCTTTGCTTCTTTCTGACTTTGCTCCCTAAGTTAAGCCTAAACTAAGCAACAGCTGAGAATGGTACTGAAGCTACAGCTAAGAACAGTACTAACACTTCCCCATGAAGGCCTCTTATGTATCATCCCATCCCTCTCAAGAGATTATATAGGAGGAGTGTAGTAACTTTTTAGGGATCACCGTGCAGCAGAAAATAACTTCCTCAATGTTTTTTTTTACTCCACTCCCCTGGCCACAGTTTATTCATCCTGCAGTAGAAATCTGATCGAAGGTGTGCCAATTAAGGGATTTAGTTCATTCTGGGCTGCTCTTTTGAAGCAGAAAAAGCTGATCTGCAGAAAGAAAAGGAAGTAAATGTATGAAAAGGCTCCACCTAATGCATTTTAATTCCTAGTTTCTGTTTTGCTTGAGGCTGGCTGTATGTGTGCTTGAATTCTGTGAAATACCTCAATATCCTCAAATAAATGCCCCCCTTTAAAAATGAAAATAAAAAATAAATAAATAAAAAGAAAAGAAAAAGAAAGAAAAACTAGCTTGCATTTCTGATATTTGCCACTGAAGAGATCTAACTAGCATTAAAAGGATTTAGAGCCCCTTAAAGAAGCCTCAGATAACAGAGTTGTGACGGTTAGGGCAAGGATGGAGGTGGTGAAAGAACACATACAACCCTTTGATAGTATCTTACTTTTCTTCCATCAAGCGGCTGAACTTCTCCCGGGCCAGATCCATCAGCCCGTCTACTTCACTCTTGGAGCGTTTGAAGTTCTCAATGCTGAATGCATAGACTGTCACCTCTAGGATGCCCAGGTTCAAACACCAGCGCAGGGTCTAAGAGGGGAAAAGGCAAAGAGCTAGGATACAAGGAAGCATGGAAAGGGAAAAAAGAGATGCTTTGGCTCTGACTCAGCACTGGAGATGGGAGACAGACTTTTCTCCTCCCCAAACCTGGGTAAAGCATAACAGTGCTTATGTCAGAATAATGAACCAAATAAGCAGAAAGCCACCATTTGAGAAACTGAAAAATGTGATCTTAGCAAATGATGATGCCATTGTGGTTTACTGGAAAGAACTTTTCACTGGGAGCAGAAAGAGCTAGGTTCTAGTTCCTGACTCCATCACATACTTATGTAACTGTAGGCAAATCATTTAAGATTTCTGGGTCTGAGTCTCCTTATCTACAATCTATCCATCACAAGGTGCTTACAAATAATACAAAAACACGGGGTATTATTACTAACAGCATAACTTCATTATTCTGGTAGACTGAGACACTAATGAGTTAAAAGAATAAAAGCAACAATTGGATAGCTGTGTAGCATTTAATAGTATGCAAAGGGTTTTTCACATACATTATTTCATTTGATTCTTAAGAACGGTATTATTGTTTTCACGCTGCTGTAGATTGGACGCCCTCCCCACAACCTCATTGAAGCTTAAATCCCCACTGTAACTGTTGAGGGTGGGAAATCTATTAAGGTAATTAAAAGGTGGGGCCTTGAAGAGGTGATTAGGTTGTAGGACCATGCCAAAGTGAATGGATTAATAATGGTGGTCAGGGGCATGATTCTGAGGACTTTAAAAGAAGAGCACATGAGAGGTTAGTCTCTCTCTGCTTGGCCATTTTCTGCCATGTGAGACTCCTGGGTCACTATCGCCACCACCAAGACCTTCACCAGATGTGTTCTCTGGACTTTGGATTTCCCAGCCTCTGAAACTGTAAGCAATAAATTTCATTTTCTTACAAATTACCTAGTTCTGTGTATTTTGTTATAAGCAACAGAAATGGACTAATACACATGCCTACTTTATAGATAGTAAAACAGGCTCAGAGAGTTAAAGAACTGTGTCAAAAGTCTACAACTCTATTGTATGATTCCATTATATCAAGTTCTAGAACAGAAAAAGCAAATCTATAATTACAGAAATCAGAACAATGATTGCCTAGAGGGAAGGAGGAGTTGGGATAGGGATTGATTGAGAAGAGGAACAAGGGAACTTTCTGGAGAGATGGAAATGTTCTATATCTTGACAGAGGTGTAGGTTACATAGATAAACACAATTGTCAAAACCCAAAATCTGTGCATTTCACTGTATGGAATTATACCACAACTTAAAAAAAGTGTGAGACTCAAACTAGATCCTTTGGGACTGCTCCAACACAGTACCATTAAAGGTGCAGAACAAGTTGGAGCTGAGGATAACAATGTTGAAATGGCAGCTGGAGGTTAAGAGTAGAGGATAGAAAACATTCAAATAGGGCCGGCCCGTGGCTCACTCGGGAGAGTGTGGTGCTGATAACACCAAGGCCACGGGTTCGGATCCCATATAGGGATGGCCGGTTAGCTCACTGGGTGAGTGTGGTGCTGACAACACCAAGTCAAGGGTTAAGATCCCCTTACCGGTCATCTTTTTAAAAAAAAAAAAAAAAAAGAAAACATTCAAATAGTACCAAAGAAACAAAGCTGCAGAGCTACCTCTCTAATCCCTTAACATATACACACGAAAACAAATCCATTGCCACCTCAGGAAAATGGGGAACCTGGCACTTCAATAGGCTCAGGTCCTAAAGACAAGTGAGAACCTGGCATTTGAAGTCTCAGGGCCTAAAGACTTTGCATGATAGCCACCTGGGATGGCACATCTGGGTTGGAACCCACCACTGACCTCAGTCAATATAGCTGCTATGACAATAGTTTTGGTTTTTTGAGCACTTCCTTTCTATCTGGCCCTGTGCCACATGCTTTTCATTGTGCCATCTTCAAATAATCTCCTGAGATAGAGATTATCACTAACCCCATTTTACAGATGAAGAAACAGAGGCAAAGGGAAATTACATAACTCACTGCAGGTCACAGACTCAGGAATGGAACAGCAGGGATGTCAATGAGTTCTGAGTGACTCCAGAGCTTAAGCTCCTGAGCAGTAGGCAAACCTGACTCTTACTTAGTTACAAAAGAGAACTGAGGTCAGCAAACCTTAAGACTTCTACAGAGTGCTGGAGAAAACCCACTGCCACTCACTCAATGCACAAAATATCAGTGCGTTGGCATCAGGCCATGTTCCTGTGCCAGAATGCTGGGACCTGTGGGCTATAGACCATATTTCCATTCTTAAAAGTTAGTTTCACAAAGATTGTCATATTCCATTTTTATTGTTAGCATAAAATGTTCATGATATCTGCGTAGAGTGATGTTCTGGTTTGCCTGGCACTTTCCCCAGCTTTAGCACTGAAAGGCCTGCATCTTGAGAAACCATTTGCTCCAGAAATGTCACTTCTAAGAATTTATCCTAAAACAGTACTATTTATAATGTCCAATAGTAGTTGTAGCAGCTAAACAAATTATGTCAGATCTTTGTGATAAAATGTTCTGTAGTCATTAAAACATATTTATTTATTTATTTTTTTTTACAAAAGATGACCGGTAAGGGGATCTCAACCCTTGGCTTGGTGTTGTCAGCACCACGCTCAGCTAGTGAGCGAACCGGCCATCCCTATATAGGATCTGAACCCGTGGCCTTGGTGTTATCAGCACCGCACTCTACCGAGTGAGCCACGGGCCGGCCTGTCATTAAAACATATTTAGAAAAGCTAACTATCAACCTAGGAAATACTTGTCAAAATGTTAAGTAAAAATAAGGTTATTAAAGCTATAGATGCAATTTTACAAATGTTAAGTCATGTAGAACAAACATACTATAAGGACTGGATAAGGCATAGGATAATAAACTATTGACTTATTAAGGGGTAAGAGCAGGCAATTTTGTTCTTATTTCTAATATTTTATCATGATTCACTGGATTACTATTTTGTTAATGTTGATATGAGGCCTATAGATAACCAGCAAACAATAAAACAGAGAAACAGCTATGAAAAACACAAACTACTGCAAACTCAGGCTTGCTTTTCTAGTTATAATCCAGTTCTCCACAGACTGTTCACTTTGGGTTCTGCCACCCACACACACCTCAGCCAGCTTGTTGAAGCCCTGTGAGTGCCCTTCCTGCTGCTCCACTTGGCACTTCTTGGCATAGCGACGGTTTCCATCCATTATGAATGCAATATGTTTGGGCACTGGGCCTGCCTGTGGAATAAGAAGATAAACGATCTCATACTCTTTAGGGATAAAAGAGAACACTATACCCCAAGCTGATAAGTTTGGGCTACATGACAAAAGCCTGAGGAAGGGAACTAGGTATTTTATGCTTTTAGCTCAGTAAAAAAAGGCGTTAAGCACTTTTATTTATATGTTCATTAAGCACTTACTACGTGCCAAATACTATGCTGGGCTTTGTATAATTCATTTTATCATACAATTCTACAATATAAATAGCATTATCTTCATTTTATAGGAAAAAGAAACTGAGGCTCAGAGATGTCACGTGACTTGCTCAAGTCACACAGCTAAGAGGCAATGTGGGGATTCAAACAGAAGTCTGTCTGCTTCCAGAGTTCATCTTTCAACTTTATTCTCTTAACTACCACCTTGGTTTCATTAGTCTCTAATTGGAAGGCAGAGGAAAGATATTGATGGGTACAGTCAAATGGAAAGGACATCTTCCACATCAAAGAGGCACCTACTCCTCATCTCTAGAAATTGGGGCCCAATGTTGTTCGGATCTTCTAACTTTACAAGAGAACCAAACATCAGGATTTTTATAAAAATTTAAATGTCAGGGGCCATTTCAAAGCACACAAAAAGGACATTTTTGGAGCTAAACAAAACTTCTTATCTGGCTTAGGACAGCTTTGGGTTGTCTACCACAGCAAAAATTGACTGCTTGGCCTATTTTCCCTCACCTGGAGGGGCTCTTCACAGACTGCTTCCCCAGCACCTCTTCAACATTTTCTATTTTTGTGTCTCACAGATAGCCTTTTGAAAAAAATCCAGTGAAGCCGTGTAGCTTGTTCTTCCACACATGACTGCAGTGGTTCCTTGAGGAGACACTTTCCATTTCCTGGCCTGCCTGAGATCACTTGGCATTTGTGAGTCAATAAGGCTTATTGACTCTTAAATTCACTACTATCTGCTGCTTGACAGCCTGTGGCTGAAAAGCAAAAGCAAAACCAGGTTGACTGGCTCCAATCCCAAACCTGTCTTAGGCAGAGGATATAACACTGTTGTGATTCCTAGAGAACAAGCTGAGGGAAATTGTGGAAAAGCAGGGATGGTATAGGAAATAGAGTGAGCATAGTCTTCAAATAGCTGAAAGACAACCCAAATAATAATTGTAATTAAGAACTACTAGACATTGTGATAAGTGCTTTATATGTATGTCTCATTAAATCCTCAAAGTGACTCTATAGTTGTTAAAGTCACATGTTAGATACAGTGATAGAACAGAACTTTACTCTTGTCTGCCTCCAGAGCCCAAGCTCTTCACTGTTATGCTCTACTGCCTCATCAAAGGATGATTAGTTATTCTACCCAAATCCAGAGAACAGTGCTAGAAACAATGGATCAAAGTGGACAGTACTAAACAACAAATTTCAGTTCTTTATAAGGAAGACCTAATAGTCTATGCTGCCCAATAATATCTGGAGGTCCTGGACTTTGTCAGAATTATGACAATAATCTCCCAGAAATGGAGACCTGGAAGTTACCTTACAATTCTAACACTCTTTGGTTCTCTTGCTAAATTCCACTTAACATTATGGGTTGATGAACTTTATTTATACATTTTCATGCAAGATTACCCTACTTACTAGAAAGAAGGTCAATTTGTGCTCTGGGCCACTGCTCACCTTTATGATGTTGGCACAGAACCGCTCCCAAAGTGACAGCTCTCCTTCTTTGATCCATGACATAGTTCTTTGCCCCGTCAGAAGATAACCAAAACAAGACACCAGCCAGGTAACCTTGGATAAACAAGGGAGAGAATAAGAAGTCACCAAGGCTTGAAAACAGCTACGCTGACTTATAGGGATTCACCTGGACTGTGGAGAGCAGCCAGCACTAGAAACCAAAGACATCGGTCTAAGCCTCTAATCTTTCATCACCCGGAGTTGTATAAGCCGATGGAACCTTTGGGGCAGAAGCCTTTCTGTGGTCCTCCCGGCTTCGTGGGTCTTGCTCCCATTCCCTTTTCCTCTCTGCACTGACTTCTTCGGAGCTCTAAGCCCGCTTCCTGCCACATCGTGATGCCTACATCTTGCTCATTCTCCGCTTACTTCACCCTCTCCCAAGCCCTTTCCCACTCTGCGTTCCCGGTTACTACCCCCTTCGGTTGTCGCACCCGTTACCTCATACCTCAGTGGTCTCCTAATTACCTATTCCCTCAGTTGTCCCTTTGTCTCCCCTCCAGATGCCTCCCCGCCCAGTCACCTCTCTCTCTCCTCTCATTCAACGCGGCTGTCAGGCACCCCACCGGCTCCGCAGGGTGCCTGCGGACGGCTCCAGTGGGCGGACCCTTACTCACGACGTGGCGCCGGGAGAGCGCGTAATTACTGGGCGCCGGGACACGCCTCTTTCGTCACCGAATGGGTGGGGCCCTGCCCTGCGCCTGCGGGCTAGGGGAGGAGCGGCACGAGCGTCCGGGCCTGCGATTCCCACTCTCCCCCGGGGCGCTGGAGGAAGCCGAGCTCACGTGACCGAGCGGGGCCACGTGCTGGGGAGCCGGTCGGGGAAGGCGGGGTCAAGCCCAGCAGGGAGAGGAGCGAGGGGGGTCTTTAGACACGCGGATTGGGAGGACTTCGGAAAATGCATTACGGAAATGTGGCACAGGGCAAGAATTAAGAGACCTCCACCTCCGAAATTGAGGGCCTTCTCGACCGCTGAAGGCAGTTTAGGACTGCTGAGAAATGGGGTAACGCAATGTCCTGCTAGAGGGGCCCTACCTTGGAAGGCCGCAGAACTGGGCTTCATTAGGGCTCTGGTACAGCTTAAGTCTTAAAAATGTTTTTATTGTTTTATTTAGTGAACGTAATGGTGTGTGAAGTAGTTCCTAGCTCGAGTCAATTTTACAGATATACTGAAGGTCAGTCCATTTTGTGCTGATTTAAGGCACACACATTGCAGGATTTGCTAATTCTCAAGACCTACCCAGAACTTGAAAAAGGCGTAAGGCCAGAAAGACCTCTGCTATGGCAATGACTTCTAAAGTAGAAGAAAGGCCATCAAGGGCTGGCCGGTCAAGTCGGTTGGTTAGAGCCTGGTGCTGGTAATACCTGTCACGGCCATCCGCCAAAAAGAAAAAGAAAAAATCAAGGTTTTAGCTCTGCACCAAACCTTTAGGAAAAAACTGTTGCAGGAGCTTTGAGACTGGCTCACAAAATATATTGGTAGCTCGGTTTCCTCAAAATTAAAACAAGCAGGAAAAAACTACATAATCTGATGCAACCAGTTTTTCAAAGCGAGAAACAACTTCCATCTGAATGTTGAGTGAAATAGGACTTCACAATTTAAAGAACCTTCTTGTATCTTCACTCTGCATTGCAGTCTTATCTAAGAAACAAGACAAGGAATAGAGGTTGCACTGGTGATCTCTAATTCATTTTGTCTTCCACTCTTTTTGATGGAATGGTTACTTTTAACAGAGCAACATGGCCAAAAGAAGCCCTAAAGATGAGTAACTCACCCATGAATAGTCTTAGACTTTTCCATACTTCCCATTTTGCAACCTGGGGAGTAAATTTCAGCCTCGCAATTCACTTCAATTTTGCAGGAAGACCATTTACTGAAGCCCAGAAATAGCTTGATGCTTTAGAAGCTTCCACTGTCAGCTTGGGCTTTTGGCACAGTTATTTAAGGTAACACAAAGTCCCTGGAGTGGATTATGAAACGTTTTACCCTTGTGGTAATGTTACCAGGGTTTGAGGATTTAATCCAGAGTTTCCCTGTTTCCTTGCACTTGGTTTGCCTTCAATCAAGATTTTTTTCCTTTTTAAATCCTCACTTCAAAAAGTTCATGGAGAGATTCCTATTACCTTTTAATTGGATTTTTCCACAACTTTCAGAAGTACCCTCCTGTATGTTTAAAAATTCAGTTCATTAGGTTAGCAACTTTGGCTCAAAGAAAATGTTTTTAGCTAGTTAGTGAATCTCCTCCAGCCTCAATTTCCCCAATTCCACATTACATTTCCCTCCTTGGGGTGCTGCAAGGGGTTAATTAAGATTTGTAAAGGGCTTTGAGGAGTAAGGGACAAAGTATTATTAGGGTCTCATGCCCCAAGCCATGGCCCCATCCTTTCATCCCAGCCAGTGGCACAGGCAACCCCATTCTTATGCATGCCAAGCCCCTAATCCCCTCTTGAATGTGGCAGCTTCCAAGGAATGGACAAGAGGCCTTAACTAGAAACAAAAATCCACTGTAATGAGGTGCTAAGAAGACTGAACTTCCAAGATTCATTCCTAACAAAGTGGCTGAACAGAAAAACTTACTTCTTCTGTGACTTCTGAGACCCAATCTAAAGTGGGAATTATAGGAGAAAAGCTCCCTAAATATTTGAGAAAAAGGACAGTTTCAGTACCAATAAGTCTTTATTCATTGTATTTTCCCAGGGAAAGAAGGGGAGGGAAAAGAGTCAGCGTGTGTTACAAAATGATTAGAAAATGGGAAGTACCCAGTACAGCAAAATCATCCATCAAATAAACATACCCAAGTGATGGGGTCACCAGAGCCCCAGACGGGTTAGTCTCCTGCAGTTCAGGAGGGGAAGGGATCAGGGAAACAACAGACAGGTACATGCTTTCCTACCCTCCCACCCTCCCCATAAATTCAAGATTTTACACAAAGCTTTGGTTTCTAGCAGTAAACATGAAGTTACATTCGTCCGTCTGCTATTCAATAATCTTGTGGCCACTTTGGCATAAGTTTCTTGCACCTGCATAAAAGTTCCTGAGTGACTTGGATATACATTCATATTTCCCTTTCCTGACTCCACTTTCTACATGGAAGACACCCCCCCCCAACTGCTTCTCCCTACTTTAGGATTAGACTAAGTAGGTTTGATCCATTCACATACAGCAGTGTGAAGTGTTTAGCATGAGTCATATACAAAAATGGTCTTGACTTAGGAGGTTGGGAACAAGGCATGGAAGGTTCCTAGCTTCTGCAGAATTTTTGCATAAATCATTTAAGAGTTGTGGAGACACCATAAGAATTAAATGTGTATATGTGTGGGTGCGTAGGGTTTTTGGGGGGGAGGGGGGTGGGGATGGAGAAGAGGATAGGGTAGGATAGGCTCAAGTTTTTAGGACAGAAGATCTGGGCCAAAATAGGAAATGGGGGAAGGAGAGCACAAAAGAATGATTCAAGATCACCTCTTCAACAAGAGAGCCCCCCAAACTTACGTTTCACATCTTTTTGCCTGGTGCAGAACCTTCTGTCAAAGATGCTTTGGCTATTTTTTCTCTCAGTACAAGAAGTTTGTAAACAATAAAACCCCCAAAGAACATGAAGACCAACACGTTATATTTACACAGACTAGGCCACCTAGCAATCACCAACTCAGTAAAGTTCTACAAAGTCCAGACAAATACAAAAACTAGAGGGGGGCAGCATTTGGAGGAGATAAGAACCCAGGATCAGACACACACCACCCAATGTGTTCTATTGCATTTGTCCCGTTTCAACAGTGAGGTAGGTTTGCAGTGATCTCACAGCATGTAAACAAAACCCCCTTTTCCTCCTCTAGCTACCACAACACTATTAATCACTACTGCAGCAGGGCAGGACACTGGCTCCAAGCACCACAAAGAGGCCCTCGCTTATGGGTCTCCCTGGAAGCCAAGGAGTTTGAAAGGTTAAGAAGCTTAGTCCTTGCTTCATACATCCGTTCCTGGACAGCACAGGTTGGGTACAGGGGTAGTGGTCTTACAACTTATCTTTACCTACTTACATTTTTTACAAGTACACACACACACACCATGTTGTGCATGGCAAACCTAGCCTAATCCAGTGAAGGATGGATCTGTTATGCAAAGCAAGTGGCTGCCCTAGGATTAACCCTCACCTAACCTTGGCTTCCCCTCTGGGCCTTTCACCTGGCCCAGCCTCTCCTAACCTTTCCATACCACCTTTTCCTGTTTTAGACTACTTTCCAATCTTCCAGTAGAAGGAGACCAAGTAATGGGGCAACCCAGTGAAAACCTAGTCTCCCATGAAACATTTTGGAGGTGGAGGGGGGGTTTCAGGACACTATGGCAGAAAAGCCAGCTCTAATTGGCAAAAATGAGGTAGTTCAATAGGCTATACACTCCAAATAGTTGCTCTCCATGGTGATAAAACAACAAAGAATTCCTGCTATGCAGACCTGGAGCTGCTGCTGCCTTATCCCTGAGATTGCTCATGTACCTGAGAACACAGTGCAGGAATGAGGGCCTTAGATTAAAATATACAAAAATACAAAACCAGAATATTTATATTAAGAAAAAAAAAAAAAGTTAAAATGCACAAGATACGTCATTCGCACACAGCTAGTGCAGTTGGCATCCTGGAGAAAGTGGGACCCAAGGTGCAGTTATCCAAGGAGGCAAATAAAATCACATTGCCCAGAATGGGGTGGGAATGAGCTTAGGAGCAGAAGGTCTGCAAGCTGTTCCCCCCAACCACCCTTTTTGCCTGTCACCACAACCCACTGCTTGGGACAGTTTCCAGCACCCCATCCCAAGAGTGGGTTACGAGGAAACAAGATGAAACAAGATGTGACAAAAAGCTGCCTTACGCTGAGAGATTCCCTCCCACAGAATGTAGTGGCTTGTGGGTTGGGTCTTAATCATTTCACTCTAGCATGGGAAATATTACTACATATCCTTCTTTAAAAGGAAAACTTTCATATCCTGGCCACTTTCAAAAGTTGGAGATTCTGGGATGGAACCTCAGATAAAGCCTGCAGGTTCTAGAGTGACTCCCCCAAGGCCCTTAAGTTGTATTTGGATAGAGAACGGTTGGAGTTCCTTTGCCTCACCCCTTCCCCACGAAGAGGGAAGAAGGGGTGATGCAGTGAACCCTGGCCTGAGATACATGGCAGCGCCAGCTACCCTCAACCCACCCTTATCCCCACTTTCTCCATTCTGCCAATTGATGCCTGCTTCTTGAAATTTCCTGATAGTGAAAGAATAGCCCCCACCCCGTGTGGCTCAATTCTGGGCCTCTGGGAGCAGGGTAGGGCTGTGGATCTCTTCTTCTTCCTCCCGAAAATAGGCTGGCTTTCCCTGTGAGCTGGGGGCCTGCTGGGCCTTCAGTGGACATGAGGCCACCATATGGCTGATGCTCTGGCAGAAGTGGCACTTCTTGGGCTGGGGTGGCAGCTTGCATTCCTTGGCATGATGGTCTAGACCCCCACAATTGTAGCACCTAGTACAAGGCAAGATGGTAAAGGTGAGCGAAAGGAGTCAGAAGAGGTTAGAGGCCTCCCCTGAGAGAGGACACCTGGGCTCTGGTCCAGGTTTATCACTACTCTCTCTTCCTTCCTGACGACCGATCTCCCTATTTATGAAAATATGAGATGATCTCTAAATCCTTTCCAAATCTAATTGTCTAGATTATCTCTTCAGATTCATGTCAACTTGAAAAATATGAAGAATGCAAGTCACTGACCCCAACTGGTATTTGCAGTTTGGGGGATAGGTTGAGATTCTACTGTACCCTTAATGTAGAAGAAATTAAAGAAGCCAGATAATAGTGTCTGCTCAGAGATAAAGGGCTTAAAACCAATAGCAAGATTAAGGAAATTGTCCATCTAGAGACCTGGTAAAGAATCAACAGATACAGATATAACATCTTGTTTCATCATGTACGTACCCATGGTCTCCTTTAGTTCTAATATCATCATGTGAGGTTAGCATCACCATCCTCACTAACCACTGAGGCTAGAGCTCACGAGAAAAATTACTTGTCCCCAGCAGAAGAGCTAGGTCATCCCCAGTGTCCTCCTCATGCACTGCCCTGGCCCACATCTGTTGCAGGCACCCCAACTATCCAGATGTTGCCCGGGACCACAGACTTCATTTTATCTTTGGCAACCTGGTCCAACAAAGTGGCAGAACTGAGAAAGCCCCCTTCCATACTCAGCATGCCCTTAGCAATCTACATAAGCTGCCTTCCAGTCCACACCTGTCTCCTTTGGATCTACGCTTCTGCATGTTCTTCCCCTTTGGCCGCCTCTCACTCCCAATACAGAACACCCCACCAGGTCCGGTGACACGAATAGATTCCAGGCCCTTGGCAGACTTCTTAAAGGTGAACTCCACTGCCTCACCCTCCTTCAGGCTCCGGAAGCCCTCCATGTGCAGCTTACTCTGGTGAAGGGAAACATGGTAGATTTTAACATTAATTTCCATTATTACACCAAAACCCAAAATGCACACACCCATTCCTGAAGAGTAGGAAGAGCAAGTGGGATAGCACTTCCATTTCACCAGTAAGGAAACTGTGTGACTTGAAGAAGTCACCATATTAAGAACAACAACAACAAAAAACTACATTACTTAAGAAAGATCGTGATTATATAAACAGATGCTGTAACATTTTTTTTTGCAGCTATTTGGGATTAAAGTTCTAAGTAAACAGAAGGAAAATTTCTACATATAGGCATTAATAAGAAATCAAAAGATATAAAATTGCAAAATATAAAGGGCAATATGATAAAGTACTTAGACATTATGTTTTCACATAATACCTCACTTAGTTTTTATACTGTCATCAAAAGACGCTGGCTGGCCAGTTAGCTCAGTTGGTTAGAGCCCAGCCTTTTTTTTTTTTTTTTGTCCTTTTTGAGACCGGCCGCACCGCACTCAGCCAGTGAGCACACCTGCGGTCATCCCTATATAGGATCCGAACCCGCGGTGGGAGTGCTGCTGCGCTCCCAGCGCTGCACTCTCCCGAGTGCGCCACGGGCTCGGCCCTAGAGCCCAGCCTTGTAACACCAAGGTCAAAGGTTCAGATTCCCATACCAGCCAGCCACCACAAAATACAAAACCAAAAAAACCCACAACCCCCCCCTGCCAACTACAATTAAGTAGAATACTGGAAAAATATAAAATTAGGCAGTAATCTTATATCAAAGCATTACAGTATACCTTATTTAAAAAAACTCAGGATGTTCAATAATCTAAAAAATCTCAGAATATGTTTAACAAGGTAAAATGTGGAAAAAAGCTGAAGTTGTATTAAAGGATATAAAACAGGAACTGAGGGGGAAAAAATGAAAAAAAATCATAATCCTAGATTGGAAGACTTAGTGATTCTTAAGAGGTAACACATATGCCAAGAATACGAGATATTACAACTTACTTTACATCAGGTATAATCTGTAGGATAGCAATTACAGAAGGAAAGAGCAAGTTTACAGAGAAAATTGGCAGACAGCACCCTATCCAAATTATTTGAGAGCATTACCTAAAATGGGACACACTAACATGGGACATATCTCCTGATGTTGCACTAGGGATATATGACTAAATATGCACACCCTGAATCTAACCTTGAGGGAATATCAGACAAACCCAAACTGAGGGATACTCTGAATCTCACTATTCTTAGGAAACGCATTGAAATACTTGGGCACGAAGGTGCTTAATGTCTGCAATTGGTGCTTACGAAGAAAAAATGATAAAGCTATCTGTAAAGATGAGAGAGCAAATGGAGCAAACTGTTAAGAATTGATGAATCTGGGTAAAGGTTATAGGGGAGGTCTTTGTACTATTCTTGCCATCTTTTTCTTCTTTTTTTTCCCTTTTTGTCTTTTTTCGTGTCCGGCAGCGGATCGCAACCCTCAGTGTCGCGCCCGTACCGGACCGGGACCGGCCACGGGATCGCAACCCTCAGTGTCGCACCCGCACCTCGCTCAGCCAGTGAG